CCAGGCGAACCTGGGCAAATGCCCCCCTGGTCACAGCCGTCAAATGCTGGTCGAAGGTCAGCTGTGGGTCCAAGAGGACTCCCAAGTTGCGAACCCTGTCTGAGGGGTATAGAGTTCAGTATAGAGATCAGCCAATACATAGCCTAAAGAATAATTTATAGCGAGAAGCAGTAGACAAAAACATTAAAAGCAAGAGATGAGGAAACTGCCATATTTAAATAATATGCTTTGAGTCTTTTGGCATTCCTTGATCATGAAAATTTAAAAAGTCAAGTCCATATTGCTTTAGGCAGGGCAGGGAAAAGATCTTTGACTTAGCTCCATTGTACACACACAACACTTTAACAATAGGTTCTCACAACTGCAGTGAAGCAACTGAATCAAATGAGGAAAAGGAGGAGAGAGTATGCTAGCTTATTATTGGGCATACTAGCCCAGGAGTGGGCAGAATTAGCCACTGTTGACCATTGTACCCCAAGTACCACCAAATCTCTCTCTGATCTCAAACATGCTTCTGCTAGCTTCTGCATGTAGGACCTCCAATCTAGGACATCTCAGTTTTAAGAGGAAGGGACTGGGTCTGTGAAAGAGGAATGGTCAGTGTTGAGTGATCATAACTGATAACTTACCTTGTGACCAAAGCATTACAGCAAGTACACACAAGATTATTTTTCTCATTGTTTTTCTGGAAACGGATTGCCTGCAATCAAGAGTTGGAAATCTGGGTCATTAGCTGTTCAGAGTATCTTTTCTTTTGATTTTCACACAAGATTCTGTGACCAGTGAGCCTGGAAGACCCACCTAAGTACATAATACTATTTAATATTCTGAGATATTCAATATATTAAGATCAATTAAAATGTATATTGTAGTATAGAATATGAGCCTCAGTGGCACAGTTGTTAGGGTGCAGTATTACAGTCTATTTTTGCTGATTGTCAGCTGCCTGCAATTTGGCAGTTCAAATCTCACCAGGCTCAAGGTTGACTCATCTTTCCATCCTTCCAAGGTGGGTAAAATGAGGACCCAAATTGTTGGGGGCAATAGGTTGACTCTGTAAACCGTTTAGAGAGGGCTGTAAAAGCACTGTGAAGCGGTATATAAGTCTGCTGCTATTACTATTGTTAGTAAAACCATTATCTTAACTCTGCTTTAGACTCTTCGTGACATTATGTTTTAAGAATTCTCTATATTTATAATGGGAAATGCTCCCAATAAGAAAGTTCTGATTTTTAAATAGAAAAGATAGAAAAAGTGTAAGCCTCTAGCCTAGCCAGTGTTAATAGATGCTGGAACGTGTGGTCCACTATCATCTGGAAACACTACAACTGCTCTCCCTAATTCTTTCTATAGTATTTTTCTCTAATATATTCTGACTAAGGAATATGAAATAATTCAAAATAATATTAATCATTATAATTATAACACAGCAATATCATTAAAACCTTGTTTTCTTTGACATAGTAATCTTAAGCCTTTAATTTAGAATATAAGATATATAAATAAGAAAGTTTTCTTGTATATTTATTGTATAAATACCACATAATGAATAAAAAATGTGTGTGAGAAAAGCTGAATCTTACCTTTGATACAGTTGAGGTAAAACGAGCTATGATTTCCTACCTGGGTGGTACAACTGCAAGTATTTATAGAGTGAGGTGCTTTCTCGTCTCCTCCCTTTTTTTCTCTGATTTTGGGAAATTCTTGGGAAATTCTTACTCTAAAATCCCTTATTCTGCAACAATTGTGATGTAGGAGTTTTTACCAGAAAGGGAAATCCATTTCTTACTCAATGGGTAAATAACTTTATAAGGATCATAATGCAATGTTCTGGACTTGCAAAGCACAGAGCATGCTGTTGTCAAGGTGTTTTGTTTATTTATGGAGTAAGCTGATAAGATGACAAGCTGACATGATGTCAAAATTACTGTTGATGCTTTGTCTGTTCCAGACTGCATAAAATGACAATATTTCCTCCACCCACCCCTCTAAAGTACCTTAAATATTTGTTCTCCTGTAAATATATACTGTGGGAAGAATGTATAAATTTGTAAAATTTGTAGAAATATATAGGGAATTATATGCTAACTAATCCAGGATCCACAGAGTTACTGATCAACAGCCTCTGAAAGCCTTTAAACACAAACATAAGAATTAAACACTTATTTCAAGTACAAATATACATAAGCAAACACACAACACTCAGTTAACACAATGTAAACATAATTATAATGCTCACAGTTCAAATGAACAGACTCAACCCAAATCACTTGATCTAATCAACCCCTTCACCTCCTCAATGCATACACACAAGCCCATGCCCTTCAAGTGTCATCCTAAAAGCAGCACGAACACACTTCCACACCCAGGACAAGCTTCCCTATAAAATAATCCTTCTCTACCCCATGTTCTAGGTATCTACCCCCATAGGCAGACCTCTTTGCTTTTGGGAATAAAATAATTCTCTTTGCCTCACAACTGTCTGGTTTTCCTTTTTTAATTATTCTTGCACAACTCTGGCTTAGTTTCCAACCTCAAATTCTTCTTCTGACAATACTACAGTGTTTCCCTAAAAATAAGACAGTGTCTTATTTTCTTTTAAAATCTTATATTTTTTAGGTGTAGGTAGGAGGTGGCGAGCGTGGTCACCTCATGGCTGCTGCTGTGTTGCAATATTTTCAGGGAGGCCTTATTTTTTGGGAGGGCTTATTTTAGCGCATGTGCTCAAAAGCCCGATTGGGCTTATTATCCAGGGAGGTCTTATTTTCAGGAAAATTGGGGATAGGGCCACTTCCTCTTTGAATTGAATTGGTATAAACATACAAATCTGTGTTTTAACTGGGGCTTACTCAATTAGCCAAAGCTGGTGGGCCTGTACAAGACATTTTGTCATGGTTTCATGGTTCTCCATCTTGGTTAAACAAAGACCAGCAGTGAGGTGCTACAAGACTTTATTCAACAAGCAATAGCAAGAACAACTTCAGAACACGGACAGTGCTCAGGCCGCCTGACAGCTATTTATATATGACAGCTGTCAGGCGGCTGGCCAATAGGTGGCCAGTGATTTTCCCGCCAGCCGGCAGGTGCACCTGGGCCAATCAGGAGCCTGCAGCTCTGGCCCCGCCTGCTGGCTGCGTCGGAAGGACACAACACGAACAAACTCTGCTTCTCAAGATTTCTGATATGATTATGATTGCTCTTCCAGGATTATTATTGTTAAACTAAATATACATAGTAAACTAAAGGAATAAATGACCTGATCTTAGTAAGAACCTGCTTTCATAGGGATGTGATACAAGTAAGTTATGGTCCCTTTCTGTGCATTTTTCAAAGCTGGAACACTTAATACATACATATTCATCTGTTATATCTGTACTTAGTTTCAAATCTTCCTGTCTCACAATTCTTACATACAATCAGAATTTTACCGCCACTTCCTTGTGCTTTCCCAAGCCATTTCATTTTAATAACTTAAAAAACATCTGAATCCAGTTTCTGAGATACAAAAGCCCCTCACTATCTAAAATATGTACACAATCCCCCAGAGCTTACAAAAACTAAATGTAATGGTTTTCTCTGTCTTGCACAAATTTTTCTACAACATGACGTATCAGTATTACTTAATCTATAGCATATCCCCCTGGTCTAAATCATGCCAGTTCTTCCACTAATATGTTAGTTCCCTGCACTCAATCAAATCAGATCATATTTGGTTTGGCATATAATGTATTAATTATATTTAATACAATGATTGGGGAGCAAATGAGCTAAATAATTACCTCATTCTCGATAAAAGGAACAATAACAGCTAGACCTCAATCACCTAGCATTCGAACTATGGAGTCTATATATATATACAGGTAGTCAATGGCATGCACTCAGGGGAGGCAGGGGAGGCAGGGCCTCACCACTGTCATCATGAAAAGAAAAAAAAATGTAAAAGGCTGAGGTAGTTGCTGCCAGAGTCACAGTGGATGACTCTGCTTAGTGCTTAATTGTTTAAAAAAGCCTCTAAAAAGTACCTCATTTAGTCTATCTTTATGATCACTCGAGCAGAGTTAAGCAAGGGTTAAAAGCTGAAAAATTCCTTATGTAGAGGAGGGACGTGGTTCTCTCACCTCTGCAGGGCACTTTTTTAAAGAGGCTTTTTTTAAACAGTTAAGCAGAGTCATCCATTAGAGACTCTGGCAGCAGCTAACCCAGCCTTACTTTAGCAGCTCTTGCTTTTTTCTTTTTACATTTTTTACATTTTCATCATGGCAGATAAGAGAAGAGTTGAAATCCTCTGTGAAACAGCTGGAAAAGGTATGTGCGTCGGAGGGAGGGGGGAGGAATTCAAAATTATTGCAATTTGTAAATAATTGTAATTTGTATTATTATAAGTAGTGTGTGTGTGTGTGTGTGTGTGTGTGTGTGTGTGTGTGTGTGTGTGTGTGTTTTACCCACCTCTACTGGAGCATGGGCTGGCACTTTATTTTTAATTTTTTAAAGCCCTGCTGCCGCGCCCACCATGGAGCGGGACACGTTCTGCTCTATGGCCGGTGCAGCGCTGGGACTTTAAAGCCCTGCCACCGCGTCTGCCATAGAGCGGGATGTATCCTGCTCTATGGCCGGCGCGGTGCCAGGATTTCAAAGCCCTGCCGACACGCCCGCCATAGAGTGGGATGCATCCCGCTCTATGGCCAGTGCGGCGCCGGGACTTTAAAGCCATGCCGCTGCGCCCGCCATAGAGCGGGACATGTCCCGCTCTATGGTGGGCGCAGTGCCAGGACTTTAAAGCCACGCTTAGAACTAGATCACCTTCGGGGAGAAGGTAAACGATTGCAGGGTGCAGCCTTAAGCCCTGTCACCTGGTATAAATGGCTTCAAGCAGCCTCTGATAGAGAAGCTGCCTTCACGGGAAGCGGTGGCTGGATTGGGGCTGTGACTGATGCTTCCTTCCAGCTGACCGGCCTGAGGCGGGGCCCTTTGTGGGAGCGGTAGCCTTTGCAGCGGCTATGAGGCAAGGATCACACAGGAGACAGTTCATTTTGGGTGCGGAGCCTGGGAGAGCTGGAGCCATGGTGCAGGTCTACAACTTGCACCCCTTCGGGTCACAGCAAGTTGTCCTTCTGAAGTAGGAACCAGCGCTCTTCTGCTGCGGGAGGATGTACTCCTGGTGGCCTGCAGCTCCGTCACCTGCAAGGTGGAAGTGTTTGCCCTGTGGGGCGGGCAAAAGCCGAAAGAAAGCGCCCCACCACTTCTGTCTGACATAGAGGCGTCCGTGCCCCGCAGCTGGGTCGGACATAGCTGTGGGGTGTGAGACGCCTCTATTTCGGACATAGCTGCGGGGCGGGCAAAAGCAGCTTTCTTTCTTTTTGCCTCACCAGCACTTCACCGCACATCACTGCAGATAGTCCTTAACCTACGACCACAATTGATCACAAAACTTCTGCTGCTAAGTGAGTCATTTGTTAAATGTCAGTTTTGCCCTATTTTACGACCTTTCGTGCCATAGTTGTTAAGTGAATCACTGCAATTGTTAATTGCATAGTAGTTAAGTGAAATCTGGCTGTCCATTGACTTTGCTTGTCAGAATGTCACAAAAGGGGTTCAAAACAAAATAAGATTTCTTCCAACAAACGGGTCTCCAAATTACTTAGAAAGTTAATAACTGGCTGTCCCAAATAGCTGCGAACTGGCTAAATCCCACCACTGTTC